GATAATAGGGGAATTCTATAAACAATTCTATACCCATAAATTCTACAACTTAATGCAACAGTTCCTTAAAAGATACATACTGTAAAAACTTACCCAAACTCTTTCCCCCTTTACACTATTATACTTGACTATTCTTAAATGAATAATAAAAAATAAACTCATCCAAGATGAAACAGATAACATGAAAACTGTATATATAGTAAAAAAAAAAAAAAAACCCACAATTAAATCCTGAAAAAGAAATCTTAAGTCATTCAAAGTGTCTGTTTAAAGACATTTTAAATAAAGGGGATGTATAAATGGCAAATACATGGAAGGAAACTTGTTTAACATCATTAGCTATTAGAAGAGCCATTAAATGAGAAATCATTATACACTTACTAGGATGACTGAAATAAATGTACTAATAATACCAAGTGCTGACAAGTTTGCAGAACAACTGCAACTCTCATATGTTACTAACAGGAATATAAAATGGCACAACCACTTGGGCAAACAGTTGGCAGTTTTTCATCAAGTTAAAACACCACTTTTACGGTCCAGGAATCCCAATCTGAGGTATTTTCCCTAGAAAAATGAAAACTCATGTTCAGATAAAAACCTATACATGAATATTTGCAGCAGTTCTATTCATAACTCATAACTCTATTCTACTTTTCCAAACTGGAAATAACTCAAATGTCCCTCATATCTGTATATGGGAATACTACTAAACAATAAAATAGAACAAGTTATTGATATGCAACAACATAAATGTACAAAATTAAAGGCATTACACTGAGTAAAAGATGTCAGTATTAAAATATTATACACTGTATTACATGACATCCTAGCAACACAGTGATGGAGAGGATACCAGTGGCTGCCCAGGGGGGATGCATAGAAAGAGAGTACAAAGGGAGTAGTAACATAAGGGAATTTAGGGGGTGATCAAAGTGTTCTGTATCCTGATTATGGTGGTGGCAAGAATCTAAAGGTATATCCAAAGAAAGTCAATTTTACTTCAGGTTAATTTTAAAACATAAAATTTAAACACTCAACTTTATCAAAAGTAGACTGAAAATAAATCAACCAAGTTTTAACTCAAGATGTTAGACAAAGAACATTAGAAACGAAATAAAATAATATCAGAAATCAAGAAAAATGTAAACAACAAATGATCGATAAAGCCAAAAAACTAGTTTTTTAAAAAGATCAGTAAACAAACTAGACAAATAATTGTTAAAAACCATGACCAAGTACACCTAATCTCAAGGGATGTCAATTTAAAATCAGTAATTCTAATCATTACATTAACAAATTAACTTAGAAAAACAAATTATGTCAAGATGCCAAAAAAAAAACTATTTGATAAAACCTAATACGACTCTTGATTAAAAAAAGAAACCTTTCAAAACTAAAGATAGTGACTCCTCTGAAATTTCTGAGAACAGCCTATCAGAGACTTACAAAAACCTACCTGTTGAGTGGAGAAACATTGGCAGTACTGCCTTTGAAGTTTAAAACAGCACAAGGATGCCTCCTATCACCATTATGATTCAACATCATAATAAAACTAGGAAAAGCTAGAGATATGAATACTGAAAAGAAAATGGATGTTATGGGCTCAACTGTGTCCCCTCTAAAGTTCCTATGTGGAAGCTCTAACCGATAGTATTCAGAATATAATACTATATTTAGACATTGGACCTTTAAACAAATAACTTAAAATGAGACTCTAGATTAGAGTAGGCCCTAATCAAATCTGACTGGTGACCTTATAAGAAAAGGCAGGTAGGCCAGGTTTGGTGGCTTACGCCTGTAATTCCGGGAAGCCAAGGTGGGTGGATCACTTGAGCTCAGGAGTTTGAGACCAGCCTGAACAAGAGCTAGATTCCATCTCTAAAAACAGCCAGACATTGTGGTAAGCACCTGTAGTCCCAGCTACTTGGGAGGCTGAGGCAGGAAGATCACTTGAGCTCAAGAATTTGAGGTTGCTGTGAGCTATGATACCATAGCACTCTACAAAGGGTGACAAAATGAGACTCTTGTCTCAAAAAAAAAAAAAAACAAACAGAAGAGGCAATTAGGACACACAGACATTAGAGGCACGTGTACACCATGTGAAGTGGGAGCTAGAGGGAGGCCATCTGCAAGCCAGGGAGAGATCCCTGAGGAGAAACAAATCATGCCAGCATCTTCACTTTGGACACTCAGCCTCAAGAAATGTAAAAAGCAGAAGTTGCAATGGCACCTGAGTCCAGGGCTTAAAGTTAGAGGAGCCACTAATGCTGGGTGCAAATACCAATGGCTCTGATTGGGCAAGGATTATTATTAAGACAAAATCACATAGATTTTGGGAGATATGCCCCTAATCTTTTTTTCTTAAGTGCCCTATTATTTTTAGTGTACAATTTTTCAGGACACAAAAGGTTTTTCAGGAATGTATACATTCCATTATAGCAGAAATACCTCTGATGAAAGATGTCAGTGTCCATAAATTAACCTACAAATTCCTTGTAATCCTAATAAAATGGAATTTGACAAGCTGATTTTAAAATTCATCTGGAAAAGAAAAGGATGAATAGTCTCGAAATTTTGGAAAAATAAGTAGTGAGGACTCTCCTCGTTAAACTGCCCTTCCAGTGTTGCTGGGCAAAGTAGAAAGGGAAAGGGGGAAGTAGAGGCTGACTGAACTGATTAAACGTGTCTTGACTGTAGGTCAATGTGACTGACTGTTGAAGGTAGGGGTGGGTGTCCAAGGGAACTTGGCAAGTCTCTAAGACTAGTCGTAGCTTAGTTCAGAGATAAGCATTTTGTTGAGCATCTGTACTCTCCTCAGTTCCAAAGCAAGGTCTGCAAAGGAGATGTGCTCTACCAGAAACAAGGTCTATATTAACTAACCTACATGATATTATCACAGGAATAGACAAATTGATTTATGGAATGGAATAATAATATATAACACATAATACCATGTATGGGACAATGTTTTAAATGTTATTTATTTAACCCTCCCAACAACCAATGAGGTAGGTACTCTTAACACAGAAAGGCATAGCAAAGTTAACTACCATGCCCAAGGTCCAAAGCTATTAAGACACAGAACTGGGACTCAAATAGAAAAATAAATCCACACATATATGGGAATTTAGCTTATGACAAAGTTAGAACTTAAAACCTGGGGATAATGATGAACTAGTGAATAAATGGTATTGGGGCAAAAAAGACTATCCACATGGAAAAAAATAAATTCCCAATTCATAAAACTTAATTCTAGATAAGCACTTAAAATTTTACCTCTTATACAAGCTTTAAGTAAAAATATAAGGCCTGCCTACTCAAAATATAAATTACAAAAAATTATAAAGATAACTATGTAAACCTTGAAATATTCTACATGCTAGAAAGCACCATAAATAAAATTAAAATAGTCTGAAAGAAAATAATTTTTTAAAAATCCAGAATATACAAAAAAATTCCAACAAATCTAGAATATATATAAAGAACTCCTACCAATCAATAAGAAAAACTAGCATCCCAATAGAAAAATGGATGAAAGATTAAATTCATAGAAAAGGAATAAAGAAGAGTCAATAAACACATAAAACAGAGATACCATATTTTGCCATGGGATTGGCAAAAATTAAAAAGACTAACAGTACCCACCACTAGTAAGACTATGGGGAAAGAGGTATTTCTCAAACATGGCTCATATACTAGCCCTTTTGGAAGGCATTTTGGCACTATTAACAGTTGCTTACATATACCCTTCAACCCAATAGGTCTATCTACCTTAGAGAAATATTAACTGGCACACAGGCACAAAAGGTACAAAAAATATAGTCTAGCAAGAGGTAGGAGAAAAGAGGGAGGGGGAGGGCATTTGGCAGGATCTCACCTAATGTGCACAATGTGAGGGTGTACAGAACACCTCCTACGTGAAGAGCTCTACTACAACTTGAACTTTGCCTGAGAAATAAGAACAATGTAACCTAGAAACTTGTACCCTCATATTAATTTGAAATAAAAAAATTATAGAAAAATTTTCAAAAATAAAAAATTATACAAAATTTTTCATTGCAGCATTGTTAGTAAAAAAACAGACAACCTAAATGTCCATCAGTAGGAAATGAGTAAACATATGATATATTTTTATGCAGCAGATAGACTTCTGTGTATTGAACAAGTAGATCTCTATGAACTGATGTTGAAATACAGCTAAAAAAACTGCTGAACCATAAACACTAAACGAAAAATTATACCTCTATCTATACATCTACACATGGGTGTAAATGCAACAAAATAAAAGGTAGACATCAAACTGATAACAAAGATTATATTTGGACTTAGAGAAGGAAGAATGTTAGTCAAAAGGAATTTTTTCTTTCTCTAACATGTTCTAATTTTGGCAAATGAACATTAACTGCTATTTTGTAATTCTTTTAAAATAATATTCAAACCGTGTGTGAAAAAAATTATATTCAAATAAACACCCACATTAGTTACCTATATTATACAAAAAAGTGCTTTATACATTGCAGTACTCAATAAATCTTGGTTTTAAAAAAGTCATCTTTTAAATGTAAAAAGCCCACTGAAAGGTCATTAAATACCTTTGCATAGTATAAAAACTGCCTGACACAGAACACAAATGATACAGGTCATGGAAGTAAAAGAGGCAAGAGGAAAAATAAGTCACCAGCAGTGAATGCTGGACAGTATTAAAAAATAGATGATACCTAATGATACCTAATTATAACAGCTACCATTTTTTGAGGGCTTCCCATGAACAAGAAACTGTGCCAGATGCTCTAAGTAGGCATAATCTCTAATTCTTATATAAACCTGTAAGATATCCCCATTTTACAGATTAGAAAAATATGGCTCAGAGAAACTAAGTATCAGGTGTAAGGCCAGGCCTCTGTTCACTACAGGCTGTTCTCTATTGGGACCAACAGTTGAGACTAGGACTTATGGGACCCCTTCTGGCCTGGACCCATATGCTTAGCTGCCCTTACTATACTCTGCATCCTTGAAGCATGCTCCCAAGCTGTCCTGTTCATCCAGACTGGCATTCTCCTCCTCCTCGCTCTCAGTTCTCCAGTATGCTGGCCGCTTGATGGGTCGCTTCCCTGGGGTACGCTGGGAAGCAGGACTATTAGACACCGTGCCCAGCCCACTGCTGGAGCTCCCACTGCTTCGGTCCTGCCCCCCGGTCCACCAGGCCTGCAGGCTGGAGGTAGCTGGTGAGGATGATGAGGATTGCAGGTTGGCCATACACAGCATGCCCTGGATGGCCTCCTGAGTGCTGGGAGAAGCTGGGGCCTCACTGCAAGGAATAGAGGAAAAATGCTGATAGTTTCTCTAGTTCTCAGAGGAAATCAGTCATCAAAATACTCAGGGAGGAGGGATACCAGCTGTGGGGATCAGGGTGGGAGGAAGAAGGGGACAATCATCCAATGTGAGAAACTAGAAGTCAAGCTAAAGGAGGATAGTATCAGATTGTTTTCATGAAAAGACAGTCTTTCCTGCCTTCAAGTCTCTCCACAGATAGCAGGCAAGATGGCAAAAAAGGGGTCACACCTACCTCCTTATCCACCCATGCTGCAGTTTCTTTTTTTTTTTTTTAACAAGTCTCCTTCCATGACCCTTCTAGCCCCTCTTACAACTTCTAAAGTGTCCAAAATTAATTCCCCTTGACATCTATACATCCTATCACTGTCAAATATTAAGTTCCTTAGGACAAGTTTAATACTTACTTTAGTATTTCAGCCCAAATATCCTAGATAATTCTTTGTCCCTTTAAATGGCTCAGTAAATATTTTCTGATTGGCTAACCTAGTCCCTTGGGTGAGAGGCCAATGTGGTGTGATAGAATGAAAAGAGGAAATCAAAGACAATACTCACGTGAGGGCAGCATAATCAGGTCCCCCCACCTGCCTGCTGGCCTTAAGCAGATCAAGAATTCCACCAGCTCCACTCCCATTCCCAAGCTTGCCTTCAACCCCTTCTACCATGTCCTCATCTGTTGTATAGTCCTCCTGTCAGAGAGAGACCATATCATCTTAACTGCCCAAGATTTGTCTTGATACTAATATCTTCTGAGAACCTATCTTCTGAGCACCAAGTATAGACCAAGTATTAAACACAATATTCATTCTTTCATCTTAATCTCCATAGTATCTTAGTGAGATAGGTATTATAACGCTCATTTTATAGATTAGAAAACTAAGGTTCAGTGAAGTTAAATAATTCACAAAAGGTCACATCAGATAGTCGGTATATCATATCTTTGATATGATACTTGTCATATCAAATCACAATATTCTTTCTGCTATATCACACTGCCTTTTATTCTACTCTGTACTAAGGGATTTTTAAAATATTTCAACTAAGTTGTAATCTTCCATTTATATGCTCAGCAACATTTAGCAAATAATCTTCCACTTAATAAATACAGGGGGTCCCAAAGTTGCCCCTAAAGTCACCATACATCGAGAAACTTGGAAACTACAGCTAACTATACCTTTATTTACAAAATAGTCACTACAAAATATTCTTTATGTGTTGTCCACCTGTTTCTAAAATGGTGATTTTAGGGTTAACTTGTGGGATACTCTGTATTTTGAGACTTGAATATAGGTTGTCTTTCCATCTTGTCCAACTAAAATGATAATCTATCTTCTGTCTTAGTGACCAGAATGAGAAGAAGACTAGACATACCTCAATGTCAAACTCAACTTCTCCTGGTTCACGAACTCGGTTGGGGTCAGAGCAAGGTTTCGCACGGGGCAATTTCCGAGGAAATTCTAGAGAACAATAGAAAGCACTTATCATGAAGCAAAGATTAGCATTTGAACCAAATACCCAAAGGAAGGAAAATAAGACTAATATTACTGGAAATAATGACCACAGATTATTAATTTAGAAAGTTTAGGAATCAGATGATAAATAAATCTCTAGAACAAAGGAAACAATGGAGGCCTATAAAGTCTAGTAAATCAAAATATCAATAAGCTCAGGTCTTGAGTTTATAAAGGGGACCAAAAACAAATGCAAATGGCAGGGAAGGAAAGAGAAAGAACAAAGACACACTTGGTCTTATTATCAGGGTTGCCTTTTCCTTTCCCAATCTTTCGTCAATCTGCAGCTCATCATCTGAATCCAAGTCAAATTCATCTTCCATCACCTGTTCTGCTACCATCCTAGCCCTGTCTGCCTTCTTTGCAAACTTGGCTCGACGAGACTTGGATAGGCTCTTCACCCTCTTGGTACTAGAGAAAAAGGAAAGAAAAACATAAAGACTAAACAGTCACATATAATATTGTTAAGATGGCAATTTCCCCCAAATTGGTCTGCAGAGTCAATGTAATCCTATCCTAATCAAAATCCACCTAGTTTTTCTGTAAAAATTGACAAGCTGATAGGAAAAGGTACATGGACATGTAAAAGACCTACCACAGTCAAAACAATTTTGAAAAAGAACAAAGTTTGAGGGCTTATATTAATCAATTTCAAAACTTACTATAAATCTATGGTAATCAAGGCAGTATGATATTGGAATAAGAACAGACATAAGATTGGGGAACAGAACTGTGAGTCTCAAATAAATCCTTAAATTTATGATCAACAGATTTTTGACAAAGAGGCCAAGGTAATTCAGTGGAGGAAATGATGGTCCTTTCAACAAATGGTGCTGAGACAAATGGACCCTTACCTTACATAATACACAAAAATTAACTCAAAATGCATCATGGATCTAAAATCTAAAATGATAAAACTTCTAGAAGACAATACAGAAAAATACTTTTGTGACGTAGGATTAGGTAAAACTAAAAACTTTTATGCTCCAGAGAGCAGCGCCTGTGGCTCAAAGGAGTAGGGCGCCGGCCCCATAAGCCAGAGGTAGCGAGTTCAAACCCAGCCCTGGCCAAAAACTGCCAAAAAAAACCAACAAAAAAACTTTTATGCTCCAAAGAAACCATTATGGAAAAAAAACAAACCATTGAGAAAATGAAAAGACAGTGCACAGACTGGAAGAAAATATTTGCAAAGCATTTATCTCACAAAGGATTTGTATCTAGAACAATTAAAGAACTCTTAGAAATCAGTAATATGTAAAATATACCAATTTAAAAACAAGCAAAAACGCCAGGCACAGTGGTTCACACCTATAATCCTGGCACTTTATGAGGCCAAAGCAGGAGGCTTGCTTGAGGCCAGGAGTTTGAAACCAACCTGAGCAAGAGTGAGACCCCATCTCTATAAAAAATGGAAGAAATAGCCAGGAACGGTGGCATTCACTTCAGCAAGAGGCTGAAGCAGGAGGACAGCTTGAACTCAGGAGTCTGCAGTTCCAGCGAGCTATGATGATGTCACTATACCCTAGCCCAGACTATAGGATGAGACCCTGTCTTAAAAAAAAATAAGCAGAAGTCTGAATGGACATTTCTTCAGAGATGATATACAAATGACCAATAATCACACAAAAAGATGCTCAACATCACAAGCTATTAGAGAAACGCAAATCAAATCCATACTGCCATTTATGACAATATAGATTAACCTGGAAGACTGTAGTATATATACTACATATATATATATATATATATATATATAGAGAGAGAGAGAGAGAGAGTCAAAAAGCCAGATACAAGTAAAGAAAATACTGTATGATCTCACTTATAAGTCGAACCTTAAAAAGTCACTCATAGAAACAAAAAGTAATGTTTATCAGGAGAAGTGGGATGGAGTATAAAATTTTAGTTACATAGTATGAATAAGTTCTAGAAATATAATATACAGCAAGGTAACTATAGTTAATACTGTATTATAAACTTGAAATTTCCTGAGAGTAGATCTGTGTATTCTCATCACACACAAAAACACACAAAAAATAGTAACTATGTGAGATGATGGATATGTTAAACGACTTGACTGTAGTAATCATTTCACAGTGTAGATGGATATCAAGTATCACATTATACCCCTTAAATATATACAATTTTTATTTTAAGAAAATATATAATGAGATATCACTTTATATCTACAGTGGCTATAATCAAAAAGACAAAAAATTACAAGTGTTGGCCAGTATATGGAAAAACTTATGAACTTATGATTGCTGGTTGAAATGTAAAATGATACAGACACTTTGGTATAATGTTTGGCAGTTTCATTTTTTATGTTTTTTTTTGAGACAGAGTCTCAGTATGTCGCCCTCGGTAGTGTGCCATGGCATCATAGCTTACAGCAACCTCAAACTCTTAGGCTTAAGTGATTCTCTTGCCTCAGCCTCCCAGGAAGCTGTGACTAAAGATGTCCGTCACAATGCCTGGCTATTTTTTTTTTAAGAGATGGGGTCTCGCTCTGGCTCAGGGTGGTCTCAAACCTGTGAACTCAAGCAATCCACCTGCCTCAGCCTCCCAAGTGCTAGGATTACAGGCGGGAGCCACCGTGCCAGCCTTGGCAGTTTCTTTAAAAGCTAAACATTGAGTTATCAAATGACCCAACAATTTTACTTGTAGGTAAGAAATAAATATGTATGTTCCCACAGAAACTTGTACACAAATTCTCAGAGCAATATTATTCATAATAGCCAAAAAGTAGAAGCAATCCAAATGACTATGAACTAATAAATGAGTAAACAAAATGTGGTATATTCATACAATGCAGTACTATATACAATAAAAAGGAATCAACTAATGATTCCTTTTAATGATGCATCATGGATGAACCTCAAAAAGGTTATGAAGAAGTGAAAAAAGCCAAACACAAAAAGTTACATATTGTATGATTCCATTTATATGGAATGTCCAGAAAAAGCCTATCTATAGAGACAGAAAATAGATTAGGGCTTGCAGGGACCTAGAGACGAGAATGAGGACACAAAAGATCTTTTGGGGGCAACAGAAGTATCCTAAAACTGGATGGTGGCAATGGTTGCACAATAACATAAATTTATTAACATTCATTTAATTATATACCCAAGACATGTTGATTTTACAGCAATAAATTAAACATAAAGAAATTTGTTAAAAATATATAAAAGAAATAAAAAACCTCAAAAGTGGCTTACACAGTCCTGTTATACATTATAAACAATATTAACCAGTAGAAACTGCTAGAATAAACCTCTCAAATAAAAACAAGTTTTTAGTTAATTTAGCAATTTGATACATACAGCAAATAGTCATTTTATCAAATTGCCTTTTAGTGAATTGGCTGTCATTAAATTGACCTGTTTTCTACCTCACAGGATTATTGGGACAATTACATGAATTAATAATGCAGAGCCTGACACATGGCAAGCATTCAATGTAGCTAATATCATAACAAAGTTTTCTGGGTCTTAGTTTTTACAATGGTAAAATGAGAATGACAATACTTATCTTTGGGGTTGTTGTGATCACCAGATAAAATAATGTATGTAAACAACTAAGGTAGATTTTGACATAAAGCAGAGACTCAATAAATGATAGCTACCTATATGAAGGTCTTTTATTAACTTCTAATTTTAAAAAAAATTCAAAAAATATAAAAGTATAATGAATTCCCATATACCTGTCACTCAGCTAAGTTTCAGCAATTATCAACATATAGCCAATCCTGTTTCATCTACACCTAACTCCCCACAAAACATTGAAGTTGGAGAAAAGCCCAGATATAAAATCATTATCATCTGTAAATATTTCTAGGCTGGCGCCTGTGGCTCAGTGAGTAGGGCACCGGCCCCATATACCAAGGGTGGCAGGTTCAAACTCAGCCCCAGCCAAACTGCAACAGAAGATAGCCAGGCATTGTGGCAGGCTCCTGTAGTCCCAGCTACTCAGGAGGCTGAGGCAAGAGAATCACCTAAGCCCAAGAACTGGAGGTTGCTGTGAGCTGTGACACTATAGCACTCTACTGAGGGTGACAAAGTGAGACTCTGTCTCTAAAATACATATATTTCTATACCTTGATTCCCAAGTTTCAGTTAATAGCAGCTTCTGGCCACTGTGGCAGATAATAAGAAGTAGCACAAGAAGGAATGTTGCAGGAGGGAAAATACATTTCACTGTATATTAGAACTCTCAATTTTCTCCTCTACAGGAAACCTATCACAAGATCTGGACAAAGGCAAGAGTCAACAGTCTCTTTTATCATACTCTTTGGTAACTGGGTTTTCAAATTCCAAGAATAGTTCTCCTTTTAGAATCTTCCCTGTTCTCCCACCATTCCCCCTTATTTTCCATCCAGATAGACCTATTATACTCTTCCTTGGGATCTGAAAATACCCTTTTTCCTACAAAGAGGCTATTAAAAGGTACCTTTGTTGTCTGTGTTCCTATATTGTTCATACTTAGTACTTGACTCTTAATTGCTATTGTCTACTGGTATCCAGATGATAACCTATAATGCCTCAGCCTCCCTGAATATTTCATGGTTTCTGGCCATACTCACATCTGCATCATCATCACCTTTTACCTCCATCTTCGTCACTGCATTTAAAAGAGCTACCATTTATTAAATATTTACTATGTGTCAGGCCCTGTAATTAACAGTTTACTTATATTATTTCTTCTAATCCTCCAATAACCCTAAGGTAAATTTTATCTATAGAGTAGATATAATGAAGACACAGACTCAGAGAAGTTAATTGATTTGCCAAGGTCACATAGTGAATACATAGTAGAGTTGGGATTTGAACTCAGAACTGTCTGATTCTCAAGCCCATGATTTCATTGAGAATGGCTTCTATTTTATTCTTACCAAAAAAACTCTCCCACCTCTCCTATCCTACCTTCCAGAGATAGCCACTATTAAAAATTTGGTATAACCAGTATAAAATAAATAACAAATCTATTTATTTGTCCACACGTATACAAATACAATATCTCTTAAAGGAAATCACTGACATTGGCCATCTATGGGGAGGGAAAAGGAGGAAGGAAGAGATGATTATGAGATTTTTCACTGTGTGCTCTTGCACATTTTTTTAATTTTAAACCTTATAAATTGAATTTTTTTAACTTTTCAAAAAACTAAAAGTAAAAAATGAAAAAGACTATAAGACTATATTGCTTTTCCACATATACATACATGTGTGCACACATTTTTAAAAATAAAAATGGATATGACTCAAGGGGAAAAAAGGGAAAAAATAATAAGAAATGAAACTATTCTTATGTTATTTTATAACCAGATTTTCTCACTTAAGAATATATCTTGAGCATCTTTCTGTGTCATCAGATATCAGATTGTCTCATTTTTTTTTAACAGCTACATGGTATTCCAATTAATACCATAATTTATTTATCCAGCCCTTACTGATTAACATTTGCCTAGTTCAAATTACTTACTATTACAAACAAGGATACATTTGCACACATTGTGCAAGGACTTCTATAAATTACTGAAAATTGAATTGCAAGTCAAAAGGTATATAAAAAAGAATGCTTTTAACAAGTATGCTTATTATTTATTTCTTTTTATTTCTATCAGTTGTTCTGACCCAATGACTTGGTGCAATTTCTATAAGATTATATAACTTCTTTCTTAAGATTGCCAATTAGATTCCAAAGCTCCTTCCTACCCATCACCAACATCATCATGGTTCCTTGAACCAAGCAATGATACCTGATAATATCCAGGTATTGTCTAAATACAGGCCTTCCCTGTGTATATCATAACCCCTCGGTCCCAATTCCATGCCCTGTCTCAGTGGCATACTGTCACTGATAGTCCCAGTATCTCTGTGCTCCTTCTTCCCACCTCACCTGCCATTAGACATCAACAGGGCCAGTGGGCTCTCATTTCCGTCAAGGTCCAAGTCTGGTGAGTCATCATCTGAATCATTCAAGCAGGTACCAGTGATGTTGAACTGCAGGAGGAGGAGGCTAAGTTGTCACCTGTCCAGGACTCCCACATGAATCAGGATGGCCAGTTCCCTCTGGTTTCACTGGTTGAGTTTACTGTCAAAATCACCTAAACCAAGGCTTTCTGCCATACTACCCCCCTACCCTCTCTCACTGGAGCCAGAGGTTGAGAATGTGTGGCTGAATCAAGGGAAAGCTATCAATCTTGTGAAATATTTTCCCTTTAAAAGGGTAGGACATCTTCAGATGCCCATGGAGGGCACCACAATCTTGAGGCAAGGTAGAGCCCTAGGGCAGAGCTCAAGGAGCTATTCAAGACTCTAACCTGACACTTATATACAATGTTCTCAAATCTCATTCTCATACCAACATTTCAAACTTCAGCTTAAGTGTTATGTTTTCTGAAAAGAGCTCTTGACCATCTTCCCTACCTAGATAGAATCAACTCTCCACTGAATCGCAAGGTCCCGCACACACCCTTGATTGTGGCATCCATAATAATTCATCACACTCATTTGTTTTCATGTCTGTCTTTCTCACTAGCCTGTCAGCCTCTTGAGAGTTACATCCACAGCACCTATCGCAGTGCCCAGCATAGAAAAGGTCTCAATAAATGCCTATTAAATGAGTGGGACTAGTAGCCAAACACCAGGGGCTCTAAGGGAGGTGGCAGCAAGACAGGATAGCCTGTCCTTTTGAAACCCTGCTCTTCCAAGGGACACCCGAAAGGGCTGGGCTGAACCCATGGGCCAGCACCCACCTTTGCTTTCTGGGAAGAGCCTGTCTTCAGTGCCTGATGATTGTATGTGTCCATGAGATTATAGCTCAACTGGCCAGCAGGCCCCAAGGCTGAACTCTCCTTGCCCTTTCGATCTGCCTTCTTGAAGAGTTCCTTGGGCTTCAGGCCTTTCTTCTTTGAACCACTTTTGGAGGGCAGTGACAGCCTGGACATGGATACTGAAGTGGAATGGGCTGGCCTGGTTAAGGGAATGGAGCCAGCTGGGAAGATCCTCTGTAGCCCAAAGATATTGCTCGTCTTCCCAACGTTCTGTTGGAAGATGTCCTACAAGAGTGTTAGTAAATGAGGGGGTTAGAGTTTACTCAAGGGTTCTCTCAGCACTAAGATCAGAAGTCTGTTCCTGGCATTGGTGGTATTGCCACGAAAGTGGCTTACAGATACTCCACATATGCACACCCTAGATTGTGCACAGCAAGTCACCAAGAATTTATTGGATGGCATTTCTTTACCTAGCCATTTATGAGTAAGGAGAAGACGAGCAAAGGAAAAGCCCAGCACTGCTGTCAAAATTGGAGAGAAAAAACTCCAAAAGGAACAGACATGAGACAGAAAATAATCAAGTACTAATTTGTGTGGTTCAGACTCTAAAGCAGTGGTTCTCAACCTTCCTAATGCCGCAGCCCTTTAATACAGTTCCCGTGGGTCACGACCTACAGGTTGAGAACCGCTGCTCTAAAGACTATAAGATTTGAGAGAAGGAAATAGATTCTAGTCTTAATTCTGCTACTGTCTGCTCAGCTGTAAAATTAAAGGGCTAGACTGGAAAGGTAGTTTTTGAAGATGTTTTGTGGCTCTTTTGAGCTTCTTGGAAGGAGCCCTTGGGATTGGAGGTTAAGTGGAAGGCAGATGAGAGGAACGAGTAGAGCCATGAGTCTCCCAGCTCCACCCTATTCAAAGCAGCTATGCTTTGATTTGTTGTATATACTGAGCTTCACATAAGATCTCATTTTTTAAAAAAAGGTTCCATTGCTTTAAGATATATGAAAGCCAGTGGACCCAATATGATCTATTTCTAAGTCTTCTTCCAACCAGCCTGCAGTTCTGTGTACAAAATTGGTTTATATGGGAAGAGATTGAGAAAAGACAGGCCTTTAACTAAATCCTGAAGGATTTTGACAGATGGGAGTCAAAGAAAATGAGGTAGGAGATGGATACTTTAAGCTATGGTATAGGCAGTGAAACATGCCATAAGCAGTGAGGCTAGAAGCCTGACTTCCCAGTAGCTGACTCTTGATCACCCTTCAGCATGGATATATATCCTGGGCATTAAATAGAACTTTACAGTTTCTGAACTAAAGGGAAGTTAAAACATCCTCAAGTCTAGTTTTCCTCTGGTGCCTCTGCTACTTCACTATCCCACACCAAGTTCTCTCTTGATTGCAAAGTCTGTCAATATCAATGGCTCACATTTATTGAGTACTTACTCTGCTAGGCACTGTGTGAGAGGCTCTTTGTACATTATCTATTAATCCTAACAAAACTCTGAAAGGTTTGTATTATCTTCACATTACACATGAGGAAACTGAGGATCTGAAAGGCTTGCAAGTGACAGACCAAGAACCAGAACCCAGGTTTCTCTGAGTCTCTTACTACTATACCTTACTGCCTCGTGGTATATGACACCTGTTGAAACATGGCTTTGTAATCATCTTCACCCCGAGAGAACTTTTTGGAGAATGCAGAGACTGAGTCAAAATATTAATAGTAACAACAACTACAACCATCACCACCATCTACCACCACCATGACCCAACATCAGAATTTATTGAGTACCTACTGTGTTCTAAGCACTATACTTAGTGCTCAACTCAAATCACCCTATTTAATCCTTTTAGCAATCCTGAGTAGCTACAATTATCCCCACTTTAAAAATGAGGAAACAGAGGCTTAGAAAGGCTAACTTTGCTCAGGGTTAATTTTACTACAGTGTGAGTTCTTCGTGGGCACTATTATTTGTGTATTCTAAGACTCTAGCCCTCTGTGTGACACACTCAAAGCACATAATAATTAACTGAATGAATAAGATCCTTGATGGGGTGTTCCCAATCCCTCCCCTGGGCTCTCATATGAAGTACAGAGGCCTAACCTGCCATTTGAGTCTCAAGCCCTTCCCAAAAACCTTCTCTCCCCTTCTATGCATCTTACTTCCACCAGACGGATCTCCCTGGCCAAATCTTTAATGAGCTGTACAGTCCGCACTGTCTCCGGGATCTCATCCTCATGGTCTGGGAGAGCCTGTCAAAACAAAAGGCATGAGGAATAAACCCACACAACAATAGACAACTGATGTTTGACAATATGCCAGGGCAATTCAGTGGAGAAAGGGTAGTCTTTTCAACAAATGATCCCAAACCAATTCAATATCCATACACATAAAGAAAAAAATTAAAGATAGAACCTCAATCCATATCTCGCACCAAGTACATTCACCAAAAAACCTCAAAATAAATCACAAACCTAAATGTAAAACCTAAAACTATAGGTTTAGACAGAGGAGAAAATCCGTGGCCTTCAGTTAGGCAAAGATTTCTTAGATAGGACACACAAAACATAAGCTAGGAAAAAAAAAAAAAAAACATAAGTTGAACTTAATTAAAAATAAAAACTCTCTGCAAAACTTCTGCTACTTCACCACTTTTGCTACTTTAAGGCAAGCCACAAACTAGGAATATTTCAAAACATACACCTCATAATGACAGCATCAAAACATGTGAGGAAGTCAGTTGTGGGCTTTGGTCACAGCTCTCAAAAACGTCAAGGGCCTCAGAGAGATCAATGGGGACAAATTGCCCCCCCTATTTTTTTTTTTTTTTTTTGAGACGGAGCCTCAAGCTATCCCCCTGAGTAGAGTGCCATGGCATCACGCTCACAGCAACCTCCAACTCCTGGGCTCAAGCGAGTCTCCTGCCTCAGCCTCCCAAGTAGCTGGAACCACAGGTGCCACAACGCCCGGCTATTTTTTGGTTGCAGCCGTCACTGTTGTTTGGTGCCCGGGCTGGGGATTCGAACCCGCCACCTTAGGTGTATGTGGCTGGCGCCTTAGCCGCTTGAGCCACAGGCCACAAGCCCTTATTTTTGAGGACAGAACTCAGTGCTGAATAGCTATAGGACTATAACTAGCTCAACAGCAACCCAAGCAGATATCTTCTAGTCTTTCTTTAATTTATTTGCCATCTTTTTGAGTACGAGATTACATTTTTATGTAGATCTCAAGCTTTTTTACTGTGATTTTTTTCTCCACTCATTTCTGTATCTAGAAGACGGATAAAAATTCATTTTTTTTTTCTCATGGTTTAATTATTCTCTCCTTTAACTCTTTTTTTTTTTTTTTTTTTTGAGACAGAGTCTCACTTTGTTGCCCTTGGTCTAGTGCCATGATGTCTTAGCTCACAGCAACCTCAAAGTCTTGGGCTCAAGCAATTCTCTTGTCTCAGCCTCCCTATTAGCTGGGACTATAGGTGTCTGCCACAACACCCAGCTATTTTTAGAGATGAGGTCTCACTCTGGCTCAGGCTAGTCTTGAACATGTGAGCTCAGGTAATCCACCCACCTTAGCCTCCCAGAGTGCTGATTATAGGCATGAGCCACTGTGCCTAGCCTCCTTTAACTCTTTTAATATCTATCTGTAATTTATTTTGGTGCCTGGGTGGGGAACTGAGAACTGATGTGACCCTTCTAAGTAACCTTAATGTATCACACTCTCCCAGAGCAGGATCTCTGGAAAGGTGAGGGAACAAGTATCTCTCACACAAGTTGTCTGCACTTCACAAAAGACATCTTCCACAAGCGTGAGCTCCTCAGAACTGCATTCCACTTTCCTCCAGCTCCCTCTGGCCACACTGTTTGCGGCCATCTCTTGATCATTAGGGTCCATCCTAACCCAAGGCATGAAAGTTCACTTAATGGGAGGGGTCAGAGATGAAACTTAAGGTAGCCACACTTAAGAGGTGTAGAGTAACAGAAATAAAGGATTAGGTCTAGGTGACACCTAGGGAACAAGAGAAGGCCCAAAACATGAAGTCCAAGGATATCTAAGGAGAAGACTGGCAACAGGAAATAGGGAGACTATACGAATTAAGCCTGTAGTGACTGAAAGGTCTCCTCCTGTCCACTGTATGCAGGGCAAGGAGTATCTGAAACATAAGAGTATAGAGTGATACTTCTTTTTTTTTCATTTTATGATTATTTCTAAAAAACTCAATATTTTAAAAAGATAATCCACTTAAATGGGTCAAAATTAAATACAAAAAGATATATATTGAAAAGCCTCATTTTTACCCTGTTTCTGCCCCCACCATCCCATACCCCAAAGCTAACCACTTTCATTAGTTTCTGCATCCCTCCAGGATTGTATCTTCAGGCAAATACAAACATATACAAATAAAATTATTTCCCCCTTCCCATATAAAAGGTAACATATGCATAATTCTGCACCTTTACTTGAAAATTCTGGAGATTGGGCGGTGCCTATAGCTCAGTGGGTAGGGCGCCGGACCCAAATACGGAGGGTGGTGGGTTCAAACCCGGCCCCGACGGAAATGCAACAACAACAAAAAAAATTGCTGGGCATTGTGGCAGGCGCCTGTAGTCCCAGTTACTTGGGAGGCTGAGGTAAGAGAATCACCTAAGCCCAGAAATTGGAGGTTGCTGTAAGCAGTGTGACACCACAGCACTCTACTGAGGGCAATAAAGTAAGTTCTGGCTCTGCAAAAAAAAAAAAAAAAAAAAAAGAACAAATTCTGGAGATCATTCCAAATCAGTACATAGAGAGCTTTCTTATTTTCTTGTATACCTGTTTAATATTTGGTTGAATAGACGGGTATCTGTACAATTCTTAAAAAGCTATTTTGGCAGTGTGTATCTAGAGTCTTACATTTTTTTCATATAATTTGATCCAGTAATTGCTCTTCCAGGAATATATCCTGAAGAAACAATCAAGATATGAGGAACTAAGACAGATGCATATAGATATTTACTATATGATTCTCTATAACAACATCAAAAATAAATAAATTAACTAAAAGCAAACAACAGTGAACAAGTGGGTTAGGTAAGGAAGGTACATTCCTACAAAAGAATATCAAGTAACTATTAACTGTTTATGGAGAAATGTGATAAGCTACTAGGAAAATTAAGATAAGCCAATAGATTCAGATACAAAATTGAACACACAGTTGATCTTTGAACAATATGGGTTTAAACTGCACGAGTCCACTTACACACAGATTTTCTTCCACTTCTTCCACCCTTCAGACAGTAAGACCAATCCCTCCTTATCTCATCCTCCCTAGCCTACTCAGTGTGAAGACAACAAAAATGAAAACCTTTATGACAATCTACTTCCACTTAATGAACAGTAAATACATGTTCTTATCCTTAGAATTTTCTTTTTTAAATAAATATAGACTAACAGCCAAACCTTATGACTTTCTTAATAACATTTTCTTTTTTCTAGGTTACTTTATTTTAAGAATACAGTATATAGGGCAACGCCTGTGGCTCAAAGGAGTAGGGCACTAGCTCCATATGCTGGAGGTGGTGGGTTCAAAACCAGCCCTGGCCAAAAAAAAAAAAAAAAGAATACAGTATATAATACACAACATACAGAGTATATGTTAATCAACTGTTTACATTATTGATACAGAGTAAGCTCTTAGTAGTTAAGTTTGTAAGGGAGTTGAAATTTATACAGATTTTTAACTGTGCAGGAAGGGGTCTATACCTCTAAGACCTGCATTGTTTAAGGGCCAACTGTACAGCATGACAGCAACTACATTTTAAAATGTATATTAAAAAGATCAGAAGGAAATATATTCAAATGTTAATGGTAGCTCACTTTGAGTGTTAAAATTACAAGTGATTATTTCCTTCTTTATATTCTTCTGGAATGCACTGGCACAACTATAGCTCACCATAACCTCAGACTTCTGAACTCAAGTGATCCTCCTGCCTTGAGTCACCATGCCCAGCCTCTTAAGTATTTTTCTAATTCTCAGTGCAAGTATGAACTACTTTTTATAATCAGATAGAAGGGTTAAATTGTAATCCAAGGAATGCTAGCCTAGTCCTCTACTCTATACCCAGGAGCCCATAAGCTTCTCTGGTCTGTCTTTTCAACACATCTACACAAAGCCAGTCCCCATGGAAGGCAAACTTTAAACATAGAGAAATAACATATTTACTTCTTTCCTTGTCCAGGCCCTAAAAGCCAAGTTGAGGGCTTTGCCCCCATGGACCAGGTAGGAGGCGGGGTGTCTCCTGTTCTCTCGCAAACCTAAAGGGGGAAAGAGTAAGCAGAGTGTCAAAGAAGTAATGTAGGGACAAGTAAAAGACTTATTACCTATGTAAGGCTACCAGAAAAAATGCTCAGCATTCTAAGTACAACTCTAGATCTTAGTTCTTTTAATATGCACTAGTCATGTTCATTTACTGAGTACCTATTAAGTGGTAGGCATTTGACAACTATTATCTTATTTAATCCTGTAAGCCAGGCATTATTATCTTCACTTTACAGTCCAGGAAACTGAGGCTCAGAATGGCAAAGAGATTTTACCAAGGGCACACACCTAGTAAGTACCACAGCCACAACTGAAACCCTGTCTTCTCAAATCTGAGGTCTATACTATTCTATCATACTATTCTACGTCTTGGCTTTCAAAATGGGAATGCTCAAGAAAACCATAATCACTGCCTATACAAATTTGAAGAGCTATTAATGTAGAAGACTGGCAATGTTCTGCCTTACTTCAGGAAGAGGCTCTTACAGTAGGCAGATTTAGACTCTATAAAGACTTTTCTACTGAACTGATCTGTTCAAAATAGGTAATGAGCAGTTAGTTATCCAGCACCTGATTGAACACATAAGTGATAGTCTGTCTAGGTGGCAGAATAAAGGCATGAGATATCAGATAGGATACTATATTAATTGGTCTCTCATGTTCTTTATAACTCTGAGATACTGATTCCTCCTGGCCAAGTCACCTGGACGAATCTCAGGCTTGAGCCTACTTCTATTTCAGAGCAGATCAGAAAAGAAGAAGCCTAGCAAGCAAGTAGGCTTCCATCTGGGCTGATACCCAAGATTCAACATGATGATGCCAAAATGGTCAGGACTAGGCCTTATCCCCATGGGAAGCACATCCAGGAAATTCTTAGACTATTCAGACTAAGCTGCTTATCTCAACTGGCAGGAAATAGAAATAATTTCACTGTGATCCAATTTTCTCAGGCACCCACTCTAAATTAAAAGGTTAAAATCCATGCCCTGTCATGCATTATACTGAGTAAAAATGTGAATCTAAAAAGGTTGTATACTATACAATTCCATTTATGTAGTATCCTTGAAAAGACAAAATTATAGAGATGGAAAACAGATAAGTCGTTTCCCAAACTTACAGATGGTGCAGTAGGAGTGAGTGGATCAAACTATAAAGGTATAGCACTTGGGAGATTTTTTAAAGCAGTAATTATCACTTTTCATTGTATATATTTAAAGTGCAAAACATGTTTTAATCTACACAGTGAGGAGATATTTGTGGTGATAGAACACATACACACTCAGGGGAACAGGGCAAAAAGGATAGTTGGCAAAGGGCTTCATACCTCGAAATATGTCTAGGATGTGCTTTCCCACATACCAACAAATGGTTTCAAAGTTGGGGAACTTGAAGAGGTCTGCTGTACTCAGCCGCTTCTCAATCTCATAGGCTCTGGAAGTAGGAGGCATAACAATAAAAACAAGGATCCATTTAATGAACACATATTACATATCAAGTATTATTTGGATGCTCTTGTTATCTCTAATCTTCACAATGATTCTAAAAGACCCTACCTTATCCATTAGAGAACTTTGGGTTCAAAGGTTATATAACTTGCCCAAACCCACAGAACTACTAAGAGGAAAAGGTGGCAATCCTCAAATTGAACATCATCAGGAACCAGGATCTCTTCTTTTCTGATTGTTTCTCTTCATCCCACACTACACTGGTCACTCCAGGGGAGAGCCCAAGGACTCACTTGAGCTGCATTTCAATGTTAAGGCTGTGCAAGAAGTTCCCACCAAAGGCAAGGCAGTCCACGGGGGTCAGCACAGCATGGATCCATCCTGCAGTACAACAAAGCAAAAATAAAAACTGTCAGAGGGCCTTTCTTCTTCTGGACATCTCCACTTCCAACTCAGTTCAACCCCAACTTCTTGAGAGTAGTTAGCCTGGCAGTGACTCAGTTCTTCCACTATCCCAACACCCAACCTGGCCTAGTCTGCTATCATTATAATCTTAAACTGGACCATCCTACAAAGTGAATAAACTTCCACTTTTATCCTTTCTACTTCCAAATCTTTATCTTGCCTTACTCATCTTCTCTTCTGTCTCTAAGAAGGTCTTCACCTCCTTGCCATAACTACTTCTTCTAACTCCATGCTGAGAAAAACAAAAAAAGCTTTTATGCTGGATGAACCTGGGTTCAAATCCTGCCATTACCTAGCTAAACATCTGATTCACAGATTGACTGTGAAGCATGCACCCAGCTAGAACTCAATTATTCCCCTTGCCCTGTATCTCTTCCTGGAACCTTCTTTAAATTCTCTCATATTCACCTCCCTTTCTCCATCCCTCCATTCATCCATCCATTTTACCAATGCTTTGGTTCAGATCCCTCATTATTTCTCATCTAGGATATTGCAACACCCTCCAAACTATCTCTTCTACATTCACAATTCTCAATGTGTGAGCCAGGGAACCTCCAGGCTCCCTGAGACTCAGAGAATATGAGAGGCCAAAACTATGTTCATGATCATATTAAGATGTTCTTTGCCTTTTTCACCCTTATTCTCGCACAGGTATACAGTGTTTTTCAGAGGATATATGCTATGATATCAAACAGACTGAAAGCAAAAGCAGTATGAGAATAACAGTTATTTTCTACTATGCAGACATTAAAAAGATTTGCAAAAATGTAAAACAACAACACTTTTCTCACTAAATGTTTTTGGTTTAAAAATAATTTCTAGTCCTTGTGCAAAAATGGCTCATGCCTATAATTTTAGCACTCTGGGAAGCCAAGGCAGGAAGATCACTTAGATCTAGCATAGGATTCAAAGGTGGGTGAACTAATACCTGGGAATAGAAAACTATAAAAGATAAAAGGACATGAGGGTAGGGATTGAGGTAGGAGTGGATGACTTGTCCCAAAATATATTAAACATTCTAGAAAACCAATGTAATCACATCAATGATATTGATACATGAATAGACGCACCTATGAAAGAGAATAGAAATTCTAAAACTATACAATATAGACAGATATGGTAGCATTATATAACAAGAATTTTAAAACAACCATCACAAAAACCCTTTAATGAGCAATTAGAAACATACTTGAAAGAGAAAAAAATCACAAATATGGCAAAAACATAAACCCACATATTCAAGAAGCCCAGTGAACACATTCAGTGTTATAAACTCAAAGAAATCCATGCCAAAATACAACATAGCCAAACTGCAGAAAACGAAAGAAAAAAATACTGAAACAATAAGAAATGACAAATTATCTATAGGAGAAAAAACAATTCAAATGATGGCCAAAATCTCATTAAAACCACAGAGGCCAGAAAGAAACAGCATAACACTCCTCAAGTGTTGAAAAAAGAATTATCAACCCAGAATCCTATATCCAGCAAAATATCCATCAGGAATGAAAAGGAAAATTAAGATGTTTACAGATGAAGAACAATTAAGAACATTTGTTGCCAGCAGACCTACCCCAAAACTCTAAGCAGAAAAAAATCATAAAAGGAGGAATAATGTAAGACCAGGGGAATAAAAGAACAACAGATGAGTAAAAATATGGTTAAAAACAATAGAATCTCCTTCTCTTGAGTTTTCTAAACTACATTTGACAGGTGAAGCAGAAAATCTAACACTGTGTGATGAAGTCCTCAACGTATGCAGAAGAAATATTTAAGGCAAATACATGTGAAACGTAAGACATTGGAAAATTTACGAAAATGGGAAGGGTAAAGGGACATAAAAAGAGGTAAGGTTTCAACCCTTCCTTCAAACTGGTAAAACATAAATACCAGTAGATTGTGATATGTGTAATGTAACAACTAGAGCAACCAATTAAAATATATATATATATAAAAGCTGAGCCAAAATATTCCTATGAAAATTCAAGAGGCTAAGAATAGGAATACTATGCAGCCTTAAAAAAGATGGAGACTTTACCTTTTTTATATTTACATGGATGGAGCTGGAACATATTCTTCTTAGTAAAGCATCTCAAGAATGGAACAAAAGTATCCATTGTACTCAGTACTACTATGAAATCAATTTATAATCACTCATACTTTCATAAGAAGGATAAATCACAACTATAGCCCAAGATGAATGAAGGAAGAGGAGGGAGAGGGGTGAGATTTGATGGAAGGAGGGTAAATAGTGGGACCATTCCTATGGTTCATATTGCAAGAGTATGTGTCAAATATATTAAGTATAGAGTATAAATGTCTTAACATAATAAGTAAATGAGGGGAAGGCTATATTAACTAGTTTGATGTAAGCATTCCTAATTGTATATAAAATCAACACATTGCACCCCATAAAGGCATCAATGTATACATGAAAAAAAAAAAAGAATGGCCAAAAGTCTTGAGAAAGTTGGAGGGCTGACGCTTCCCAATTTCAAAACTTACTACAAATATACAATGATTGAGACATGTGATACTGTAATAAAGACAGACAGACAGACAGATCAATGGAATAGAATTCAATGTCCAACAACAAACCCTTATCTTTTTGTCAGTTGATTTTTGACAAAGGTGTCAAGACAATTCAATGGGGGAAATAATAGTTTTTTCAAGATAAAATTAGATCCTGACCTCACACCATATACAAAAATTAACTCAAAAATGGATGAAAGATCTAAATGTAATAAAACTGCAAAATGGTTAGAATTATGCAAGTCTCTTAGACACCAAAAGCACAAGCAACAAAAAAAGTTAACTTGACATCAAAATTCACTACTTTGTTCTTCATAAGATACTATCAAGAAAGTAAAAAGACAACCCTGAGAGAGAAAATATCTGCAAATCATATATCTGGCAAAGATCTAGCATCCAAAATACATAAAGAATCACTGCAACAGAACAATAAAAGGGCAACTTAATTAAAGAATGGGAAAAGATCTGAACAGACATTTCTCAAAAAATATATATAAAAATGTTCAGTAAGTGTGGGGAAAGATGTTTTCAACATCAATAATCATCAGGGAGGCTTGGCGCCCGTAGCACAGTGGTTATGGCACCAGCCACATACACTGAGGACGGCGAGTTTGAACCCAGCCCAGGGGAGCTAAGCAACAGTGACAACTGCAACCGAAAAATAGCCGGACATTGTGGCAGGCACCTGTAGTCCCAGCTACTTAGGGGGCTGAGGCGAGAGAATTGTTTAAGCCCAAGAGTTTGAGGTTGCTGTGAGCTGTAACACCACAGCACTCTACTGAGGGTGACATAGTAAGACTCTGTCTCAAAAAAAAAAAAATCATCATCATCATCATCATCATCAGGGAAACATAAATCAAAACTTCAGGCCAAGCTCATGCTTGTAATCCTAGTCCTCTGAGAGGCAAAGAAGGAAGGATCGCTTGAGCTCAAGAGTTTGAGAACAGCCTGACCAAGAGTGTGACCCTACCTCTACTAAAAAAATAGAAAAATTTGCCAGGTATTGTGGTAGGCACCTGTAGTTCCAGCAACTTGGGAGGAAGAGGCAGGAAGATCACTTGAACCCAAAAGTTTGAGGTTGCTGTGAGCTAGGCTGATGCCACAGCACTCTAGCCCAGGCAAGTGAGACTTTGTCTCAAAACAAACAAACAAAAAAACTTCAATGACATACCACTTTGCATCCACTAAATGGCTACAATCAGAAAGACAGACAACAACAAGTGTTGGAGAAGGTGTGAAGAAATTGGAAGCCTCATAAATTGCTGCTGGGAATATAAAATGGTGCATGCAGTTGCTATGAAAACAATTTGCCAATTCTTCAAGTTAAACACAGAGTTTCTGTACGACCCAGCAACTCCCCTCCTAGGTATACACCCAAGAAAACTGAAAATATATATTCACACAATAACTTGTACATGAATGTTTATATAAGCATTACTCATAATAGTAAAAAAGTAGAAACAACTCAAATGTCTATCAACTAATGAGTGGATAAACAAAATGTGGTATATCCATATGATGAATATTATCCAGCCACTAAAAAAATGAAGTACAGATAAATGCTATAACATGGATGAACCTTGAGCACACTATGTTCAGTGAAAGAAAGCAGATACAAAAGACAGCATATTACTTGATTCCATCTGTATGAAATATTCAGAAAAGGCAAATCCATATATAAAGGAAATACAAATACATCACCTTTCTGAAGTGATGAACATTTTCTGGGACTAGATAGCAATGATGGTTGCACAAGCTTATAAATATACTAAAAACTGAATTGCACCCTTTAAGTGGTAAATTCTATGATATATAAATTATATCCTTTTCACTGAGACAGTCTCATTTGGTTGCCCTTAGTAGAATGTTATGGTATCATAGCTCACAGAAACCTCAAACTCTTAGGCTCAAGTGATCCTCTTGCCTTAGCCTCTCGAGTAGCTGGGACCACAGGCACCTGCCATAAAACCCCACTATTTTTAGAGATGGGGTCTCACTCTAACTCAGACTGGTCTCAAACTCCCGAGCTCAGGTAATCTACTCACCTCGGCCTCCCAGAGTGCTAGGATTATAGCCATGAGCCACTGTACCCAGCTGTAAGTTATAACTCAATTTTTCAAAATCACATTTTAACTAAATGAAAATTAAAATATATCAAAATTTGTGTGACACAGCTAAATCAGTTCTGAGAAGAAAATTTTATATCACTAAATGCTTACATTAGCAAAGAGGGAAAGGCAATAAACTAAGTAAGTTCCTATCTCAAAATCAGAAAAAGGAAAGAAAAATAAACCCGAAGGAAGAAAAAATAAAGATAAAAGCAACAATCAATAAAATTGAAAACAGAAAGATAACAGAGAAAAATCAATGAAACAAAATGTGATTCTTTGAAAAGATCAATAAAATTAACCAAGCTCTAGCAAGATTGACACAAAAGGGAAGGCACAAATAACTAATATCAAGAATGATAGATACAGAGGATATAACTAGAGACTTGGAAGACATCAAAAGGATAATAAAAAAATACTGTTGATTCTACACACATAAATTTGACAATTTAAATAAAAGAGACCAATTCCTTGAAAAGCACAGACCACCACAATAATCTAATATGAAACAGATAATTTGAATAGCCTTGTGAAGATTAAGAAAAGTGTATGTTAATTCAAAACTTCCCTTCAAAGAACTCCAAGTCCATATGATTTCACTAGAGAATTTTAAGAAAATTTCACATGGATTCTGATTAAAGAAATCAATAGTTAAATAGTGAAATAAATGGAGTGACATGCTCCATTCATGGAAAACCCAATCAAAAAAAGGTGTCAATTCTTCACAAATTGAGACAAGTGAACTTTTCCAAAGTATACATACTCAGACCCCACCCCAGACCTAAGAATTCATAATTCTAGAAGTAAAATCCATAGAAATATTGTTTAGGAAAAAAGCCCCATCCTCCCCCTCACCCCAGATCATTCTGACTGATAGCCTAGAATGCCAGCCTCCCAGTCAGTATCCCTAGGTCATGGAGCTGAAAGTCTGTTCTCTATCTATCCACCAAGCTGACATCAATCCAGCACCAAAAAGTCCAGCCTCCTCCTGGACCTGACTACTCGAAGCCTTCCCAAGTGATCATGTTGCCCACTGGATACCATATAAATTTTATTGAAGCTTATTCTGATGGAGCCTTCAGCTGATATGAAAAAGATATCCCACATAATCAGATTAATATATTATGAGAAGGGCTTGGCTGTGGTGCCACAAGCTTCCTTCTTCTTTCTACCTTACACAAACCCTCCCAGAGAGGGGCCCAGGGAAGACCTGTAGGAATGAAAAGTGTCTGTCCTTGCTTCACAGAACACTTGTAGCACTTGTCCACCTGGTCCCCAAAGAACATCTCATTCTGATTAGAAGAACTGCTCCAGCACTCAAAGAGTGTCAGATTGGCATTTGTTGGGCGGATCAGGTAGAAGATCTTCTCACCCTAAAACAAAAAGTGGTTGAAGTGTCAAAAATACCAAGAGTTTCCAGTAAAGTTTTTTAGGGGTACTCCAAAGGGCCATTCTCTCTTCCATGTTCCAAAGCCATGGCAGTATGCCATTTCCAAAACTAATTTGGGAATCATTTTTATGTGAATTTTAAAAATTTCAAAAGGTTTTTGCTTTTTGTACTTTTTAGTTTCTATGAATTTGAAAAAAAAAGTTTGGAAAGAACATTTCAAACAAAATTGTTCAAGTTAGGACAAATGTACACCAAGTGTTCCTATTTTAGATATAATGCCAAATGAAAAATGGCCTCTATAGATGGAGTAGATTGATACTACTAGCCTTAGGAGAATTTAAGGCCACATTACTTCTGAGAAGAAAATTGAATTTGCCTTTGTATGCCATTTACAGAGTGTTCCTTCTCATACATACAATCAAAGCTAATAAAAGTTTAACAGTTCAGTAATTGCCTGAGGACTTCTGAAAGATTATGTATTAGGTTATTATCTGTTGGAAGAATATTTTATTTCCTAATTGTATTTTGCCTGGATAATCACCAGACAGATAATCTGGCAAAAAAGAAACAAAACTCCACTAACACAAAGATATCCTCAAAGCTTAATTGGTTTAACCAATATTTCACAATAAATTTTCAGTATAGAAAAGTGACAGTACAAGAAATGTCTATTATACAACTGGAGAAATCTGAATCAAATCTGTAATAGTTATATCAATGCTAATTTCCTGATTTTGATAACTATACTGATTATCTAAGAAAATCCTTTTGTTTTTAAGAACTACACACTGAATTATTAAGATAAAGGAACACTATCACTATGTAACTATCCTCAAATGTCTCAGAAAAAGAAATACATATACACATGTATATATAACCATTTTATTATGTTTGCTTCAGAGAAAGAGAATATAATAAAAAACAATAACATTTGAGGGACTGAGTGAAAAGCATACAGGGATTTTTCCCATTGTGTCTGCACCTTTTCCATAAAAGTTAAATTATTTTAAAATTAAAAAGTTAAATCTAATTTTTTTTGTGTGTGTAATAGCACTTTCATTTATATGCTACAATTTCTCCAGGATAAATCAACAGAAAACACTAGTTAAGGATTTGGAATCATCTGGACAAGAGCTATTATCCAAGTTTTCTATTCTTTCCTAAATAGTATAAACAATGGTAAAATAAAAATTATTGAAGAAATGTGTTTTCCAGACCTTGACAATGCTTTACAGTCATTAACAATGAATATACTAATTACAAAATCAGCCACTAAAATGGAAACCATCTATAGGAATCCTGACTTTAAAAAGACATCTTATACATGTTCTATCTGTGGTAGTAGTTAACCTACTGTATGTAATGGTCAAAGCTCATCAAACCATACAATTAAAAATAGATGAATTTTATGGTATACAAATTACACCTCAATGAAGTTGGGGGAACTTCCTCATTTTATCAGGAATTTCTAACGTAAATATGAACATTTTCATACATGTTGGCAGGACTATAAATTGGTTGAATTAAGAATGTAATACTGGCTTGGCGCCTCTGGCTCAAGTGGCTAAGGCACCAGCCACATACACCTAAGGTGGCGGGTTCGAATCCAGCCCAGGTCTACAAACAACAATGATGGCTGCAACCAAAAAAATAGCCAGACTCTGTGGCAGGCACCCGTGGTCCCAGCTACTTGGGAGGCAGAGGCAGGAGACTCGCTTGAGGCCAGGAGTTGGAAGTTGCTGTAAGCTGTGATGCCACAGCATTCTACCCAGGGGAATAGCTTGAGGTTCTGTCTCAAAAAAAAAAAAAAAGGAATGTAATACTGTTTAGATGAGATTGTTAAAAAAAAAAAAAAGATGAGGAAGACAACCGCTGGAAAAACCAAAGACATCTGCTATTATTCCAAAATTGTTTATTTTTTTTTTCAGAGTCTCACTATGTTGCCCTCGGTAGAGGGTCATGGCGTCACAGCCACAGCAACCTCAAACTCTTGGGCTTAAGCAATTATCTTGCCTCAGCCTCCCAAGTAGCTGGGACTACAGGCACCTGCCACAATGCCCAGCTACTTTTTGTGCAATTGTCATTGTTATTTAGCTGGCCCAGGTCAGGTTCAAACCCACCACCCTCCATAACCACTGTGCTACAGGCACCAAGACTCCAAAATTGTTTTTGATTAAGCATCAAAACTGTAAAGTAGAGATGGACCATGTATACATGGCACAACCAAGTATTCAACTCCGATAAAATAGTTAAGTGGAAATGTCACCCAAATAGAATCCAAAAGACAGGTAGGCCTCAGGAGCCTGTTATATTCTGCCACCTGATACCTACAGGGAAGCTCAAGGCCTGGCTACCTCCAGAAGCCATATATGCATTCCTACCTTAAGTACATGGTACCAGACTGAGGTGCCACCAAAGTCGATATGAAAGTCTGTATAGCTATCCCGCACGCTCATGAGGCAATACTTCTGCACATTAGGTCTTTCAAAGACACACTCCTCTGGCCACAAGTTCTCAACCCAAGATAGCTTTCGAACAATCTTGGGTGTTTCCACAAGATTAGAAAGCCTAGCAAGGAAGAAGTGGAGAACAGATGTCAACTGACTGGGAATTGAAGGTTCAATCAGGCCTGAAAACAAAGAACAAGTTCCCTCCACAGAATCCTCAAAGGCACACAGAACACTTACCTTACACAGTTCTAAAAGTCCCAATTCCCAGCTCCACACATCCTTCCCCAGTTGAAGGTATTTGTCTCCTCCACTAAATGTTTGAACTCTCCCATCCTACCCCAGTCTACTCTTGGCAATTGGTTTACAAAAGTTATTGTACCGTACTGTCCTCATTTCAGTGTCTTTTTTTTTTTTTTTTGAGACAGAGTCTCATTTTGTTGCCCTCAGTAGAGAGCTGTGGCATCATAGCTCACAGCAACCTCAAACTCTTGGGCTCAAGCGATTCTCTTGCCTCAGCCTCCCAAGTAGCTGAGACTATAGGTGCCTGCCACAACCCCCAGATATTTTTAGAGATGAGCTCTTGCTCTGGCTCAGACTGGTCTTGAACCTGTGAGCTCAGGCAATCCACCTGCCTCGGCCTCCTGGAGGGCTAGGGATTACAGGTGTGTGCCACCCCACGTGGCCCTCAATGTCTTCTTTATGAGAAAACACTAGAGAAACCTCTCAGAGCTCAAATCTAGGAAAAGCAGTGTTTCTCTGAAACATCTGGTTGTTTTTATCCTATGTAAAGCCACAAATCATATAACATTGTTATGTACTTTTCTCTTTGTTCTGACTTTTAGGAAATTCATGGAATACTCTACAGTCCTTCTCCACCAACTGTCTAGACATTCATACATTCATTTAATAGGCAGATTACTTACTAGCTACATCCTACTTTGCCACCTTTACTTTCCTTTTATTCCAATTTTCTTTTTTTCCCCTCCCTGCACCTGTGCAAGCTACCTCAAACAGTCTTTCAGAATGAAGTGAGGTATAAACAAATAAATAACCAAATACACTTTTTTTTTACTTGCCCAAATGATATTTGGTAATATCGTAACAAATACAGTTTTTAAAACACCCCCAGGTTGCTTAACCTTGCCTCTAGCAAGGGACTATATTGTACTATAATTATGCAAAATGTTACCATTGGGAGTAAATGGCTGAAGAGTACACAGGACCTCCCTGTACAATTTTTTGCAACTTCCTGTGAATCTATAAATTAAAAGTTAAAAACATAAATAATCAGACGGTTAGCTTCCTAAGGGGGAAAAGATATGTTTTCATGGTATTTCCCACAGTTCTGAGCACAGAGATTATGTATGTATCTATCATGTGTATGAGTCCATATAGAATCATTTAAAGGTTACAATATAGTGCTTTCTTTTTTAATCTAAGAAACCTATCCTTAGAGAAACTACCTGAGGGTAATTTTAGTAAATCTATTTCTAGGAACAGAGGAATTATCCTGCAGTTAGACAGTGACCGTGCTATGATACAAATACCAGAAAAAGGTCAATGAATGCTATCCTAAGGTCTTAAAAGAGACAAAAATTAATTAAAATAGCTACTGTGTTATCTATCCAATGTTACGAACTGTGGAGGAGAAATATGATTCAGTTGTTATAATGTGAGCAGCTACCCTAGAAAGTATAACCCAACTCCCCATCCCAAAGGAAGAAACCACCATAAAGAAGGGAAACAAAAACAAATATACGCTCAGCATATCACAAGTTCCTGACAGCCTGTCCGGCTTTTTATTACCCCTGCCCCTTACCTTGTATCTGAGAATTCCAAACTAATGACATTGAGGACTTTCTCCCTTTTCCCACTGTAATAATATTTCACAAAATCACCAAGTTTCATCTTGCAGTCAGCCTGGCGGGTCACATCAATCACATCAATCTCTTTGTCAGAACCTGGAGTAAAAAAATAGGTTGTGCAACAAGTGGTCTCAAGAACTGGGGAAGACTTGTCCCCTCACCAGTCCCTATAATAGCCTCAAAGCTTCTCTCCTCTGACACTATAAGTAAGTATAAGTATATGGTATGTGTTTAAGGGGGCAGAGATATGAATCCATCACACTCTCCTTAAACCTATGTGCTGGGTTCAGGCATACTAGGGCTATGGAAGTACCTTACACACACAGCCTTACACATAGTACAGTTTACATGCCTGGGCCCTACTTCTCCATTCCTTATCTTCTTCTCCCCATAAATTCATACTTGAAAGACAAGTGGCATAAGTGCAAAAGTCAAAGGCTTTCTTATCTCAACAGAATATAGAAAGAACATGATTCCTAGAATTTCCTAGATAAAAATTAGGACTCAACATGGGATTATATAGTCTATTAAAATGAAAAAGAAGAGGAGACTCTTCTAATTTTGCCAACAAATGACTTTGGCAAGGCACTTAGCCTCAGATTCCCAAGATAGCGAGAAAGGAAATACAAAAGGTACACTGAAGGGGAAGGAGGACATAGGTCTTGAGGAGAGTGAACAATGTCAATGTTAGGAGGGTCTGTGGTGTCTTACCAACATAGTGTTCCACATCCCTCACAGTGAATGATGGTGAGGGCAGCGTCATTCCCAACCCATCCTTCTTCAAGACCAGGATAGGTACACTGAAGCTATTTTCTTCCAGAAATTCCACAGTCAGCTGACTTCCAGTAGGCTTCAGAATCACTTCATCTGAGCTGTACGCAGCAGAAAAGAAAGCCTGAGCGTAAGGCCCTGCCTACTAAAGGCCTTACTAGATGCTAGCACTCACTCAGGAGGTGGGGTCTTCCTGAGAAGACCTAATGTGGGCTGGCAACTAATGGAATAAACCTAGTATACCAGAGAAGAAATGACCTATCCAAGGCAAAAGGCCAGGTCACTGGCAAAGATGGGAAAGGTCCTGTCAGTAAGGTGCTTTTCTCTGAATGGCAATGAAAGAATCAGTCAATAACCTGCCCACAAAGATAAGACCTATCTGATAAGTTTGGTGAATTTTTTTTTGAGACAGAGCCTCAAGCTGTCACACTGGGTAGAGTGTCATGGCATCACAGCTCACAGCAACCTCCAACTCCTGGGCTCGAGCTATTCTCCTGCCTCCGCCTCCCAAGTAGCTGGAATTACAGATGCCCGCCACAACACCTGGCTATTTTTTGATTGCAGCCATCATTGTTGTTTGGCAGGCCTGGGCTGGATTCGAACCCTCCAGCTTAGGTCTATGTGGCTGGAGCCTTAGCCACTTGAGCCACAGGAGCCAAGCCAAGTTTGGTGAATTTGTTCTAACCAGAGCAACATCACTCAACTTAAAACACTGGCAAAGAAAGATGGGCCAGGTGCAGTGGCTTGCACATGTAATCCCAGCACTTTGGGAGATTGAGGCAGGAGAACTGGTTAAAGCCAAGAGTTTGAGACCTGGGCAACATAATGAAATCCCTTCTCTACAAAAAAAGTAACAAAATTAGCCAGGCACAGGGGCATGTGAACTTAGTCCTAGCTACTCAGGAGCCTAAGGCAGGAGGACTGCCTGAGCCTGGAGTTCGAGATTATGGACTATGATTGCACCACTGCACTTCAGCCTAGGCAACACAGTGAGATCCTATCTTTAAAAGAAAACAAACAAAAACCAACACATTGCCTGGGCATGGTGGCTCACACCTGTAATCCTAGCACTTTGGGAGGTTGAGGCAAGAGGATTGCTTGAGGCTAGGATTTTGAGACTAGACTGAGCAACATAGTGAGATTCCATCTCTTAAAAAAGTAAAAATAAAAAATTAGCCAGGCATAATGGCCTATGCCTATAGTCCTAGCTACCTGAGAGGCTGAGGCAGGAGGATTACTGGACTCCAGGAGTTTGAGGTTACAGTTAGCTATAATTACACCACTGCGTTGCACTCCAAGCCTAGGTGATAGAGTCTTACTCTTAAAAAAATAAAATTTTCTGCAAGAAAGCTACTATAAACCAGAAAGAAACAGTAATATAAGAGAGAAACTGTGAACAAAAGTAAGTGGGCATGATGGCACACACCTGTAGTCCCAGCTACTTGGGTGGCTGAGACTGGGGGTTTAAGGTTGCAGTGAACTTTGATTATGCCACTGCATTCATGTCTAGGCAACAGAATAAAGTCTTGTCACCAAACAAAAAACAAAACATTGTCAACACAGGTTTTTTTTTAAAAAAAGATGGTTTATAAATGTACAAAACTCTACTTACCCCCTTCATAATTTAAAAACTATAATTGGAAACAACACGATATTATACTCTTTATCTTATCTTACCAGAAAGTAAAAAAAAAAAAAAATTAATAAACAATGCTGGCCATGAAATCAGGAAATCAGTACCTTTATACATTGTCTGTGGGAGTGCAAAATGGTATAGCTGACAATGTTTATAAATATTTTTAAAGCACATACTCTTTGACAAAGCAATTTTACTTTTGGATATTAAATCTGCATACGTAATCAACACATGTGCAAAATACAAAGATATTCGCTATAGCATTTTTCTCTAAAAATACTGAAATCAACTTAAAATGCCCATCAATAGAGGACTGGTTAAATAAATTACATACCATACAATGTGATATTATACAGCCATGTAAAAAAGAATATTTGTACATGCTACTGCAGAGTAATCTCTAAGACATATAATTCAGGTTTTCAAAAAACCAAGAACAGAACAATATAGTATTTCCATTGTGTCAAAAAAAGAAAAAGTGTGATACACAAACAAATATATACTCTCATATGCAAAAACTATTTCTGAAAGAAGGCACAAATAATTATTTGACTTTGGAGAAGGAACCTGAGGGGTATGAGGTAGAAGGAAGTCTCACCTCCTTTAAATAAACAACACATGCTCAGCGCCCATAGCTCAATGGTTAGGGCACCGACCACATACACTGAGGCTGGTAAGTTCGAACTCGGCCCAGGCCTGCTTAACAACACTGACAACTGCAACGAAAAAATAGCCGGGCATTGTGACAGGCACCTATAGTCCCAGCAACTTGAGAGGCGGAGGCAAGAAAATCACTTAAGCCCAAGAGTTTGAGGTTGCACAGCTGTGAGGTCACAGCACTCTACCAACAGCAACATAGTGAGACTCTGTCTTAAATAAACAAACACAAAAAATACTAAGTTGAAAAAACACTTAATCCAAATAAGACTTCAATTACAGAAAAACTGAAAATGGACTAATAAATTAAATGCCAAGCAAAGAACCAGGCATGGTGGCTCACACCTGCAATCCTAGCACTCTGGGAGGCAGAAGCAGGAGGATCCCTTGAGCTCAGGAGTTTGAGACCAGCCTGAGCAAGAGTGAGACCCTGTTTCTACTAAAAATAGAAAAAAAAATTAGCCAGGCATTGTGGCAGGAACCCTTAGTCCCCACTACTCAGGAGAATCAGGTAGGAGGATGGCTTGAACCCAGGAGTTTAAGTTTGCTGTGAACTAGGCTGATGCCATGGCACTCTAGCCTAGGTAACAGAATAAGACTCTGTCTCAAAAAAAAAAGTGTTTTATTCATTAATTTTTAATTCATTTTTGCTTAATGCAAATAATTTGTTTTTAACAAGGCCAGCTTAATTAAAAAAATAAGAAAACACTTTTAATTATAAAACCACTCAAATTTTATTTAAAAAGAGAGTCTCTTCTTCTCTATGAGAGAATTAAACTGAGTTATCTTCAATAGTCCTTATAGTTCTAACAGTCCCTGGAAGCATGGAAATATCTTCTTCTGACTTAGGTGAATACTGCCTCCCAATTACCAAAACTTTCTCAGAAACTAACCAAACCAGAAATTCCTGAGAGACTTTGCAGAGCCTTGAAGATACTCACAAATGGGGGAGGCACCTACTGGAACAACTGTGAGAAAGCTGGGAAGATACAGATTTCAGCCTCCTAGAGCATTAGCCTCCACCATCCCTTGGGGACAGGAGTCCTCACCTGTCAAAAGTCCTACTCCGGAGCTCTCGAATGAACGTAGGGCTCCCAGTCTTCACTGGTTTCCCCTTGTGTGTATCATGCCCTTTTGAAGATCCACGGCGTTTCTTCACTAAGCCAGAAAAAAGATATGAGATCATTAGTCAAAATGACCATGAGATATGATTCTAAGAACAACAGCCCTCAGTAAATACTTCTCTTCCAATCTAACAATTCCTTGTAGCATCTGGGATCAATGAACCCCATAGACTAAGGAAAATTCCTGGGAAAGATGGATACTTCTAGGTAATCCCTAGGAAGGGAGGGAGGTGAAGTTATACACTTCTGCCCTCTCAAAAGGGCAGCTTCTTGGCCTCCTGCGCCTGTATAGGCTTCTGATATTTCCTGAGGAAGAAGAATCTGAAGCATTCAGACAAGGACAATCACCCTCCCAAGCCTCTTTCACTTTGTCTCTCCTCTAGACTCCCTTTTCTGAGAAACCTTAAGATCTACTTACTAATGGAGGGCCCATGTAAAACCTCACAGTTGGGGCAGTGGTAGAGGTCAATGTCAGCAGCCTTCTCCTCTTCAACACCAACACAACTGGAAAGAGAAAATAAGGTTTATGGTAATTTTATTTCTAATAAAGTCTAGAATAGCGCTGTCCAGTACAATAGCTATCAAATACATGTGTCTATTTATATTTAAATTCATTAAAATCAAGGAAAATTTAAAATGTAGTTCCTCTATCACACTACCTATAATTCAAGTGCTCAGCAACTACTACCACATTAGGCAGATTTTAAAACATTTTCATCAATGCAAAAATGCTGTGGAACCATACTTGTCCAAAACAATCATGACAGAACTAAATGTACACATAGTAAAGCTTCATTAAGATGAGAATGGTCTGGAAGAGACTCTAGAGAGGCACTGACCAATAGAAATAGAACGTGAGGCAAATTTTGAATTTTAAATGTTGTAATAGCTACATTAGAAAGGTTCAAAAAGTACAATTTTAATAGTTTCATTTAACTCATCATATCCAAAATACTATCTTCAAATATAACTCACATTTTAAATTTTGAGATGCTTTATTAGATGGAAAGAACTAAAATGAATATTTTATAATCAACAGCAGTCTGAGTAAAGGATTATAGGTAATCATTTTTCTCTTCCTTATCTGTATTTCTAATTTTCCACAGGGAACTTTTATTATTTATTTCATATTTTAAAAACTTAAAAAAATTTAACTTTGAAAACTTGAGCTTGCATGTACATGAAGTAGCAATCTCACAAAATTAAACCCCTCCATCACCAAGGAAGGCATCCACAACCTCCTAAATACTTTCTGGCTAAGATTAAAGTCCTAAAATCTTCAGACCACATACCACAGGGAGCATAAAATAGGCCAGAGATCAAATTGTTTCAGCCAAGACCATGCTCATAAACTGACTTCCCAGGATTAGGACCCCACCATCTCCTTAATTAAGAATCCTTTGGGTATAAACCTATAGCATATCAATAAATGGGATATTACCATCAAAACCATCAAGCTTTTCTGTAAGGACTCAATCAGATAATGTATATAAAATGTATAGCACAGGGAAGTTGCTCAGGTAGGGAGGGAGCAAGATGGCAGCCAAGTAACAGCTTCTTTGTAACTGGGCACAGTGAAATTGGGGAGAGAAGACTCCTGGCATCTCTGGCTTGTGGATTCTGCCCAGAAACATCCTTTGGGAACACAGGGAGATAGCGAGAGACTTTTGGAGCCGAGGAGGAGGACAAAAGCAGTGGAGAACTGGCAAGTGGTTGCATTCATTCAGTCTGAGGCTGTGGCTTCTACAGCTATAATTACAAAAGCAAGCAAGACTGCAAACAGGAAAGACCTTCCCTGTGGGCTGTTTTGTTTTTTTTTTGGACTTCGGCACTCGGTTGAACTGCTTGGGAGAACTTAACCAACAGTGCGGATGACTTTAAGTGTTGTCTAGGGCCCTGGACTGAGCTGCTGAGCCCAAACGGAGCTAATATTGTTTGGTCGTGGGCCTCACGCACAGCCATTGTGGGAGAACTGCCCCTGAAGGTTCTGCCTCTCGAGCTAGGAGACCTTGGACAAGTGACCTAATGACTGAGCAGTGCCAAAGGCCGGGACTGAGACACTGGGGAAGAGTGGAGATTTCAGTGTTTGGCTGTAGCAGGATTGCCTTGCAGCCTCAGCCCTCAGGGGAATAGAGTGAGACCAGTATTGGTGCACTGGATAAGCAGGCAGCCGCTTCCGCTTCCGGAGAGATCCCAGTGACAAGTGCTTTCCTGGGAAAGCTTCTGCTTAGATAACATTAACAGTTTAAAGTGTCTTTTAAGTGGGCTGAGGAGAGATTTAGGCTATCAACGCAGCAGGGTTTGAGAAATCAGCAGAGGCCTCCAGTCTAATCTCATACAGCTGTATCAGCATTGTGATTAACACCTCATACCCCAGAAGATTACCTGTTGCCTGGACAATATTCAGCAAGATATATAAATATATATATATATATATATACTGCTTTGTTTTTGATTTTTTTAATTTCAACATTTTTCCTCTAGATTTTTCTTCTTTTTTTCTCTTTTCTTTCTTCACCTTTCTAGTTTAAATATGATTTTCCCTTATTGCCTTCTTTAATAATAAGAACTTCATTTTTGCTAGTCTTTCTGCCCGTTATTTGGTTTTTCCCCCAATTTTATCCCACACGGTTTTCTGTCTATTTGTTTTGGTTTGATTTACAGTATTTTTGTTTTTCTTCTCTATTTGGTGGAGGTAGGGTACTGTGTCTGAACAGGCTGGCAAAGAACTGCTGACCTCAAGGGAACCACCCAACACAGCACCCCCAGAGGTTTGGGATTTTTAAGGTTGAGTCAAAGTACCCTACTGTACACCTTTATTACTCCTGTCTCCCTCTTTTTGTACTTCTCTTCTTTTTGTCAATATTCCGTTTACTCACCCCCCCTCCTTTCTCTTTTTTCTTTTTTTTTAAATCGTTTTTCCCTTCTTGCTCTTCAATCTTATCTTTTTAGTCCTGTACCAAAAGGACTCATTGAAACCTTAGGCCAGAGGCATGTAACTTAAAGAGGAAGAGGAAATGAAAGGAAGATTAGGGCAAGGAAAGAGATAAAAGAAAACACTCATGAGGAAGAATCAGCAGAAAAATCCAGGCAACATGAAAAACCAGTCCAGAGCAACCCCCCCAACCCAAGATACCATGAGGTAGCTACTGCAGAGGATTCCACCTATAAAGAAATCTTAGAAATGACAAACGGGGAATTTAAAATACAGATGATGAAAACAATGAAGGAAATTGCTGAGAAAGTGAAAAATAACCAAAAAGCAATGAAGGAAGTCACTAAGAAAGTGTAAAATAACCAAAAGGAAATCCAAAAACAGAATCAAATAAGAGATGAACTATATGCAGAATGTAGAAAGGATACAGCAGAGATGAAGGAACTGAACCAGTCAAGTAGGGAAATTAAAGATGCGACAGAAAGTATCAACCATAGATGAGACCATGCAGAAGAATCTCAGAGGTAGAGGACAAAGCTCTTGAGAATACTCAGACAGTTAAAGAAGAAGAAAAGAAGAGAGAGAAAGCAGAAAGTTCACTGACAGAATTATAGGACTTTATGAAGCATTCAAACATACAAGTTATAGGTATTCCAGAAGGGGAAGAAGAATGCCCCCGGGGAATGGAAGCCATACTAGAGAATATTATAAATGAAAATTTCCCGAATATCAACAAAGATTCCGACACACTCTTTTCAGAGGAATATAGGAACCCTGGTCACCTCAACTCAAATACAGCTTCTCCAAGACACATTGTGATGAACCTATCCAAAGTCAAAACAAAAGAAAAGATTTTGCAAGCTGCCAGGAATAAGTGCCAATTGACCTTCAGGGGCAAATCCATCAGGATGACTGTAGAATTCCCTAATGAAACACTTCAACACAGAAGACAATGGTCATCTACCTTTAATCTACTTAAAAGAGCACAATTTCCACCAGAATTCTATATCTTGCTAAGCAAAGCTTTAATATTGATGGAGAAATCAAATCTTTTTGATATGAAAACATTGAGGAAATTTACCACAACAAGACCAGCTCTACAGGAAATACTTCAACCTGTTCCACACACTGACCACCACAATGGACCACAAGCAAAGTAAGCACCCAGAAATTAAAGGTCAGAACCTAGCTTCCACAATGATGCAAAAGACAAAACTAAGCACTGGACTTTCACAAAATAAGTGAATAGAACACTAACACACTTATCAATTATCTCAATAAATGTTAATGGTTTAAATTCCCCACTGAAAAGGCATAGATTGGATGACTGAATTAAAAAATACAAGCCATCCATTTGCTATCTGCAGGAAACACATCTAGCCTCAAAAGACAAATTAACACTCAGAGTTAAGGGTTGGAGGACAATTTTTAAAGCAAATGGAAATCAGAAGTAAAGAGGAGTTGCAATTTTATTTTCAGATACATGTGGATTTAAAGCAACTAAAGTAAAAAAAAAAAAAGATGGTCACTTCATATTGGTCAATGGAAAATACAATACAATTCAAGTCTAAATATTTATGCACCCAACTTAAATGCTCCCAGATTCTTAAAACAGACCTTAATTAGTCTGAGTAATATGGTATCCTATAATATCATAATAACAAAAGACTTTAACACTCCTCTTACAGAGCAGGGCAGATCCGCTAAACAAATTAAAGATTTAAGGGACTTAAATGAGACCCTAGAACAACTGTCCTTGATAGATGTATATAGAACACTCCATCCCAAAGCTAAAGAATATGCATTCTTCTCATTGCCTCATGGAACATTCTCCAAAATTGATGATATCCGAGGGCACAAAACAAACCTCAACAGGATCAAAAGAATTGAAATTTTACCTTGTATCTTCTCAGACCAAAAGGCACTAAAGCTGGAACTCAACCCCAACAAAAACATTCAACCCCACACATACAAAGGCATGGAAATGAAACAACTTCATGGTAAATAGCAGTTGGGTGCAAGAAGAAATAAAAGAGGAAATTATTAACTTCCTTGAGCATAACAACCATGAAAACACAAGCTACCAAAACCTGTAGGATACAGCAAAAGCAGTCCTGAGAGGTAAATTTATCGCTTTAGATGCCTATATCTGAAAAACAGAAAGACAGCACATCAGCAAACTCATAAACCATCTTACAGAAATGGAAAAAGAAGAACAATCTAAGTCTAAAACCAGGAGAAGAAAAGAAATATCCAAAATTAAATCAGAGGTCAATGAAATGGAAAACAAAAGAATCATTCAGAAAATTAATAAAACAAGGAGTTGGTTTTTTTAAAAAAATAAATAAAATAAATCTTTAGCCACACTAACTAGAAATAGAAAATTAAAATCTCTAGTAACCTCAATCAGAAATGATAAAGGGAAAATAGCAACTGATGCCACAAGATACAGAAAATCATCTCTGAATACTATCGAACCTCTATCCCCAGAAATTTGAAAATGTGAAGGAAACGGATCAATATTTGGAATCATACCCTCTCCCTTTAAGCCAGAAATAAACAGATTTCC